AGTTAATAAGAGAGCGACAAAGATAAAGCACTTGGCGTTGATAGTCGTCTCCTGGGATGAGCCACGCATTCTACTTCTCGTAATAATAGCCACGTATCGGGCCACTTTTTTCCCTTTTCATCACTGAACTGGACAATATTTACTCGCTATCGATTTTTCGCAAGTGCAGATGAAGAGCACATTCTAAACTGCCCAAGAACTTCATAGAAGGCTTGTGCAAAAATCATATGGGAGGATTTTATCACGCGAACTGCTTCTCATTTTGTCGTATATTCTTTTAGTATCACTCGCCATGCAATGCAATGTTCTAACTGATGTCGCTTTGCTCCTTTGATGACCTTCCCTGTACATTCCATTGGATGATTTCATTTCCTTTTCTTTTATTGACAGGATGTGAGTGGCAAGTCTCACTTCATTGGAAGGAGTCGTGCACGGAAACCGCATGAATCAATTCTGCACATGAATCGGTGGCTTGGAACCCACCCTTCAAGATAAGAAAGCTAAGAACGACCAAATTGCGCTTTCAATTTGCAATCCAAAACAGAGAAAATGCTCTCGCGTTTCCCACGTAGAAGTGTCCCAAATGTTGGCGGCGGGGACGCTTCAATTTGTTTCTCGCGATAAGTACACTAAGGAAACTTTCTGGCTTCCTTATCTATGGCACGAATGTTTCACTATTCTGATGTCTTCTGATACATCCCACTTTATATCGCGAGAGCGTATTGCCTTTACTCCTGTGACTCGTGAATTATTGTGACCAATTCCTTCTTACGACGTGTCACCTAATAAGTAGCCGGCTCATGACGCATGTCGCTCTGTGCGGCCCCTTGGCTCCGCCCAGGTGTCTCTGAGCTGGTCGCCAACCATGAGCTCCGAAGTTATAATCACAAAACGAATCAGTATTTTCCACAGAGACACTTGGAATAAATGTGCCCTTATGAGCCTACGTTTGTTCCGATGACAGAGCAAAATGTGTGCAAATTCAGGATGTAATCCAGATGAAAGGCTACCATCCGATCATGTCGCTGTACGAACGAGTACTCTCTGCATTTGCGTACAAGGTGCTTTTTTGGTTCATTGAGATTTCATATTTGATGCTCCTGCGATGAGGGCTTGTATACCATAACATCCTAAAAGAATTTGGTATTTTACAGGTGGTCGATGAAATTGTAATTGGTGCTCCTTTGGTGATAACAGACGAGCTTATCGACAGATTCAAAATTGATGTAAGTTTTAAAAGTTGAACTAGTTTTCTTCTAAATGATACGGACTGCGTTCCGGCTACTGCTTCAACGGCAGCCACCGTTACGTTAGAGGCAGCGATCACGATGGCTGCACGGCGTTGCGGATTTGATGACGTCATTGAACCTTACTAGTGGAAGGACTTCAAGGGGCGGTCCCGACCACGCCCTAGCGCGCTAAGCGGCCTAATCCGCAATAGCATTCCGTGACATCATACTAGGACAAATACAAAAATTAAAATATCCCGAGAAAACATTGCCGCGCTTCCAAATGCCCTAATGTGCGAAAATGTCCCCCCTCCTTCCTCTCCCCTGTCCCATTCCCTACCCAAGGACTTGAGCGCAAGAGGTATTGCATCTTTTACATTATGGCTTCTTCTTCTTTTAGAACCGGTCCTGAGCGGATGATCATATCGTGGTTATATCTCCACTAGACATGCGCTCCGTACCTATCGTTGTTTCGATTCCCCATTCAAAAATTCGCATCCGGCTTATTTTCCCGTATGGTAACCCGATTTTCAAATTCTACTACATAATCTCATCGGGCATTAGTGCATGTTTGCGCTGCAGTGTTTTTGCGTATCTATTATTCTCAAACGCTATACTTTCATATATCGCAGTATTAATGAAGAGCTGAGTTGGGATGAAATGGTGCCCCGGTAGCGTAACTGGTAGCGCACTTGCCCGGAAAGCGAGAGGTGCGGGTTCTAGTCCCGCCTGGGGCGAAAGTTTTGTTCACAACCCAGCATTCTTGTGAAACATTCGCAAGGCGAACTGCGGCCAAAAACAGCAGTTAACAAACAAAACAAGTCAGTAATTAATGTTTAACGCCCTTTCTTTCAATGCGATTGCGATCTGGAATTTCTTGTGGCTGACAGTTTATTCGTTAAGGTAATACAATGCCATTCAAAAGGTGCACGATACGAAAGCGGCAGCCTATTGGAAATGAAGGTAGAGGTGGTCAGTGGTGCAGGGATGAAGAAAAAACCGAGAAACGGCCCAGAACCCGAGAAATGGACCCCTTCTTGCCCGTTGATTTCCGCATTGATGCGACTCTCATCGGTGCTGCCCTCTTCAACGCTAACGCTCTTCCGCTAAGCGCAAGCGGCTAGAGTCAGACGGCGAGGGTGACCTGTCGGCGGGCGTGCGGAGGCGCAAAGCGGCGCTGGTACGGCCCTGCCAGGTTAAAGACACAAGACTGAATTTTTGTACAGTTGAAAATATCACCTCATACTTTCTAATTTCTATCTCACTACTTAATTAAAACTCACTGAGCTATATCTTGTAGGTGGTCGTTGAGGGACGTGTTGGGAATTCTACACAAAGAACATTTCTCTATCCCCAAGAGGCGAGGAATTTACAGGTAATTAACATAACAAGTACTATTATATAAATATTATACGATGGATAACAAACATGTGTCTTTTATTCATCTTTATGTATGTCTATAAATAACAATGTTAGCATCCTTTGATTTGCTTACTGGTGATTTGAACCTGTTTCCGGCATTTTATCAATTCACTCGATTTCAGAATGATTGACTCAGGATCTACTGTAACAACAGAAACAGTTTTGCGACGAATTATTGAAACCAGGTGAGTACCACTGCACCCAATAGAATTGATAGCACCTTTAGGCCGATGTCAGACTTTGCGAATCGAGCGATTCGCTAGCGTCTGCGGTCGCGTCGCGGCCAGCGAATCACTCGAATTGGCTGGTACCGCGGACGCTAGCGAACCGCTCGGTTCGTAAAGTCTGAAATCGGCCTTGAAAGATATTCCAAGCAGGTCCACACCAGGAGACAGAAAGCAATTTTTGCAAAGTTTTCTGGGAATTACTTATGTGAAACAGCACATATGTGCGATAATAAATTTATTACTATATGTGAGTAACATATGTACAACAGTATACCCCCTATGTGCCCCTTGTATCGCGCGGTGAGGTGCGATCCACTACAGACTTCATTACACAAGTGACGACGGCCTCCACAATGTGTTCTCAGTTAATGAAATGATTAGCCAGCTGCAGTTGTATTTTGCAAATGTCACTGGTTACATTTATCTTTTATCGAGATAAGCCGTTTAGACACAGCGAGCACCCGAAGTAAGGCTTGAATTACAACGTTCCTGACGTAGTCACGTACAATGCGAGTCGCATGGACGCGAAAGGGTGCCTTCCAGCTCTCG